CCGAACCTGCAGCCTTGGTGTTGTCAAAACCACACTCTTAACCAATTGAGCAGTCCAGCTATCCCTGGATCAAGCGGCAAATAACATTCAACAGGAAAATAGGTCTTCTTCCTGAAATCTTTGGAGCCCTTTTAGACCTTTTTAAATTCTCATTCATTACAGATTTTTAAGAGACTGGGTGGCCTCTTTTCACAGATGCTGCAGTAGTTGGTCTTCTGCATCAGCAGGGAGTTGGACTGGATGACCTTTGAGATGCTTTCCAACTCTTTAATTTTAGGACATTCTCATTGAACGAATTCAACAAGGGGCAATTTCTTTTCTTTTCTCTCTCCTTTGCTTTCATCTGGAATAAGAATGCCATGATGGGATGGGCTAAAAGGGAAATCTCTGTATGTTGAAATGTTAAAAAATGTTGCAAAACTATCTTTAAAAAAATGAGATACTGCTGTGAATCGGATTCTTCCAAGCTGCAGCCATTAATCTCTGTTTTCTCCTTTTTTCTGATGCACATTTTTAGGGGGGCTTTCTCAGTTGTGCGGCGCTGTGTCAAACTCTGCACTGGACACGAATATGCGGCAAAGATTATCAACACCAAGAAGCTCTCAGCCAGAGGTAGGCTTCTTTTGTTTTGTGCAATAGATGAGGCTTTTGAAACTCATATTACAGGACAATTCTCTGGTAGCAGGCCACTCACTTCTTGTTTCAATCAGTAGAGAGACAGGGTGCTGCAGTGCTTAAATAGGAGTATAGTGTTAGGAATTATGAGAGACTACGAGTTAGATAGGAGATAATTGCAAAAGACAGGAAGCTGCTATAGATATTGAGTGCAGTAATCACTGCCAATCAAAAGGGGGGCGGGTATAAAAGAACTCTATAAACAATAAGACCTTTCTCCTTCAAGATATTTCCCAATCTAAGCTTGGAATTTTCCCTTTTTGTAGGCAGCAAGAATAAGAGAGCTTTTGCCCTTTCACTAATAATGCTTTTGCCCTTGGAATTTCAAAATTTATGATTAGCTCAACGGATGGGGTATTTATACCTTATAGACTGGAACTAACAGGTTGTGGAAGGGTATATCTGTGAGATTAATCAAGACAACGTGAAGGAAATTGAGTTTGCTGAAGCAGTGGTACTGTAAGTGATTAACCCAGACCTTGCGATTGTAGAGCTGGGCAGTAGGTGAAGATGGGACTCATTAAACCATGAAGAACTGATTTTTAGGAAGTCTGTTAGCCCCAATGAAGCAGCTCCCACTGAACAGTGAGTCGCTATGCATACTGTTTCAAAAGAGGGCTGGGCATGAGGACCTAAGCATAGCCTTGCTATTAATTTGATTATTTAAGATGAATGAGAATGGTGGTTAGTTTTCTGACAAGCCATTGTGACTAATAAGTTTACCTACCCATGAACAACTGGGGCAGATTTTGGTACTAAGCTGAATTAGGCAAATTGGATTTGTTTCTAGATAACAAAAGTTGGCCTGCTGTGGTGGTTAATTTAGATGGCTCTCACTGAGCAACATGTGCACACAACTTTTTAGGGAAGTGGAATGGAAAAACTGAGTTGGCTCAGAGATGGGTCAGTTAAAGTTTGTCTTTCAACTCCCAAAATTATATTGCCTTATGTCTGTGAAAATTGTTTATGATTTTCTATGACATACACACATAAGTGCACCTTTCTCTCCATGTGTGCAGAGTACCTTTCTGTTCTGATAGGAAGATAGGTAACGGCAGAGTGCTTCTGGGCATCCGTAGAGTATTAATTTGAAGTCCTTTGGTTTTTGTTTTTGAAAGCTTATCAATGACAGTACTGAACCTGGTGAGGCTCTAGCTGGTTGATAGCCTTAAAGGCAAACAGACAACCAGGGTGCCCATATGGCCCTGGCTTTGCAGGGCTGATGTTCTATTTCTGAGCTCAGTCAAGACAGAGTCATTTTATGCAGGCACAACAGGGTTGGGAGAGGCAGTGTCTGCTTGTGCCTCTCATAATTACTTCTGGTGTGGCCTCAGGAAGATTAGCTTCATTCTTTGAGGACATTGGCTTCAAGATAAATAGGAGGTAAAGTCGAGGTTGGTTTACTAAATTGCTAAATTAGCAGAGACATCCCTTGTACATCTACTTCATTGACTTGATGAAGGACTTTGACCTCATCAGCTGAAAAGGACCTTTCACACTGCTCAACAAGATAAGATTCCCACCTAAGTTCCGCAAGATGATTGTGTCCTTTCATGAGAACATGCATGGCACTGTCCAGTATGATGATTCATCCTCGGATGCCTTCCCTATAAAGAGCGGTGTGAAACAGGGTGGTGTTTTCGCATCAACTCTCTTTGGCATAGTCTTCTCCCTATTGCTTTTCTATGTCTTCAGCTTCACTGAAGATGGTGTCTACCTGGGTTCCCCCCATAACCAACAACATTTCCATTGACACTGAGCAGGACAAACATAGTGGCAAGGCAGCTATGGCAATGGCTCACCTTTCCAAAAGGGTATGGGAGAATCTGATGCTAATGACCAATACCAAGATGAAGGTTTACCAGGCTTGCATGTTGAGCACACTGCTTTATGAAAGTGAGTCGTGGGCAACGTGCACACTGCCTTCAGGAAGATTTTGGGTATCACATGGCAGGACAGAGTCTCAAACACAGATGTGCTCTCCCAAGCCCACATTCCCAGCATGTTTTCATATTTCAGTCTCAGCGACATCTATGCTGGCTTGGTCATGTCCACAGATTGGAAGATGGCAGGATTCCCATGGACATGCTCCGCAGAGCGCTGGCTTCAAGCATTAGGCCTCTTAGCAGTCCAGCTCTGTGTTACAAAGATGTCTGCAAACGTGACATAAAGGCTGGCCACGTTAACCCTGCTGTAAGTGAATCCCTTGCAGACAATCACAGTGCCTGGAGACAGGCAGTCAGGGTGTGTATCCACAGCAGTGATCAGAGGAGTAAGGACGGCTGGGAGGAGCACAGAGAGAAGAAACACCATAGTGCACCTGCAGCAGCAAAACCAAACACCTTCATCTGCCCCACCTGCAGTAAAAGATGTCTATCTCATATTGGTCTCTACAGCCATAGTAGGAGCTGTAACTCTTGAAAGGTTTCACTTTACCCCCCCCCCCCAAAGGCTCACTTTTCCATTCTGCCCCAACAACGGAAAGTGGATTAGTCCTGACAATGGAACTGGATTAGTAAAGTTTAGATGCAGGGCAGAGATTGTGGCTGAGATGACTTAGTTTAGAGAGGAGCTGATTAGAAAGCGACAAGTCTGAAGTGTTTAAAGAAGCTGAAGGTTATTAACTGGGCTAAACTCAATGATCTCAGGAAGGCCACAGAGGCTAGCAGGGGTTAAGTCAATGAGGCATGTAGTACCTGTAAGTGGTATATAAGGAAGGGTATTATGATTGGAGTAGAGAGGCTGACAAATAAGGTGCTAGAGTCAAATCACAGTAATGCTATTGGCTAAAGTGAGATGAAGGTATTTGACATTGAAATCCTTAGTCAGATCTATGCAGGCCTGCTTAGGATCAGGAGAGCACTTCAAAAGGCTAACTCTTATCCCCTTCTCTCTGTCTCTTGTTTCTTTCCCAGCTGGAAAGAAGGCAGATGTCTTGTATTCAGGCACAGTAAATTAACTGTTGAATTAACTGGAACACCATGTGTCCTGAGCCCAGTCAAACAGTTGCATCCAATCCTTGAAAGTGATTTCGGAATACAGGACCAGTCTAACAGGTCAAGATTCTTAATGTCTTGGAGTGTACCGTATTGGTAGACTTCAAACAGGAATACTAGTGGTAGGAATGAGGAACATGAAAAGTGAGAAGGGAAAGGCACAGGTAGTTTGGGTTCCTGGGGAGAGCTGAGAAGGAAGACTTTGCTCATGGTCCCACTGCTGTAGATCAGATTGATGGATACTCATGACATGACCTCCTCGGTTTTGGTGCCAAGGTTATTTATGGGAATTGTCTTATTTCATATATTTATAGCCCACTTTTCAGGCTAAACACCCCACAGCAGCTTACAAAACAGACCCACAATACAATATGCAACTCAAAAATATAATTAAACCACAAACTAAAAAAAGGAAATTAATAAAAGAATACAATCTCTTATGAGATCTGCCTGGTCCTGTATGTCTTTTAGGATTTAGATTTTTATTGTAGATGTTTCTGTTTCAGTGAGACGTTTGCTGTGTGTTTCTTTTAACCTACTGTTTTAGATTTGACGTTATTAGCTTTTTCAAACTGTTCCATTTTCATGATGATACTGTTTGTTTTAATTGTCTTGCTGCTTTTAATGCTTTGTGACACAAAGGCAGGATGAAAACAAGCAAATGAAATGGAATGGAAAAAACTCAGAATTTCTGCATAGCAAATTTAGGAAGAGAAAAGCTGAAGCATGGAAAATTTCATCCCTTTAATTTTTAAATTAGATTAGCTCATTGAACACAGATTCAGAGTGAATATTATAATTTGGGAAACCCTCTACTTAGTAGATTTGTTAGATAGTTGTTGTTTTTTTTTTTTTAAATGAATAAATTTTTTAAAATAGCCCACAATTTCCCTCCTCAAGTTTCTAGCTTCTTCAATACAAGCAGTGAATAGTTGTTAAGAAAGTGATAATTGTGCTGGTGTGAGTGGATTTCCTGGAGATGTTTGAAATATACTTAATGCAGAAGAAAAAGAAGGAAGAGTGACTAATGAGAAAACAGAGTTTCGCACTTCTGAATGACATTTCTTATTCAGCATTGACTACTGTTAATGTAACTATGAAGTTGAAGTAACACCTGTGGCTAAAATACCTAGGAGGAGTGCCCTTTAGTTTAGTTCATCAATTCTGTGTCATGATTAGATTGATTTAGAAGGAACTTTGCACAAATTTCTTCTTGCTGCATTCTTTGTGTGCACTGGTAGTGTCTTACTAGGCAATCATTTTTTTGCTTGGTGAAAGCATGCCTGTGTGGGATCTGGATACCTTCCATTGATGAAGGGCTTTGGTAAGGGACTTTAGCTCGGTGGCAGAGCAGATGTTTTGCATGCAAAAGATCCCAGGTTCAATCCCTGGCATCTCCACAGTGGACTGTGAAGGACTCCTACCCTTTCTGAAACCCTGGAGAACTCCTGCCATCCTGTTAGTATAGACTCTAGACCGGGGTAGTCAACTTTTTTATACTTACCACTCACTAATGCATCTTTCTTGGTGGTAAAATTTCCTTACTGCCCACCAATGCTCAATGAAAGGATTCAGCTTGTGCCATAGAACCCCCTACTGCCCACCTAGAATCTTGAAACACCCACTAGTCGGTGGTAGGGACCAGGTTGACAACCCCTGCTCTAAACCCAGGGGTGGGGAACCTTTATCAGTCTGTGACCCTTAGAGCAAAACTTTGTTTGTGGGCAAGGGCAAATCAAATGAGGTATAGAATGTAGTTATGTGAATATCACAAGTTTCTCCCAGAGGGTACCCATGATACGCGAGTGGCACTGTGGTCTAAACTACTGAGCCCTTGGGCTTGCCAGTCAGAAGGTTGGCAGTTCGAATCCCCGTGACGGGCTGAGCTCCTGTTGCTCTGTCCCAGCTCCTGCCAACCTAGCAGTTCGAAAGCACGCCAGTGCAAGTAGATAAAAAGGTACCGCTGTGTTGGGAAGGTAAACGCCACTTCCGTGCGTTCTGGTTTCCGTCATGGTGTTCCGTTGTGCCAGAAGCGGTTTAGTCATGCTGGCCACATGACCCGGAAAGTTGTATGTGGACAAACACCGGCTCCCTCAGCCTGAAAGCGAGATGAGAGCGGCAACCTCATAGTCGCCTTTGACTGCACATAACCATTCAGGGATCCTTTACCTTTACCATTTTTCTAACCCATGATATCACCAGTGATGAGGTTTATAACCCTTCCCTCTCCATGTCTGGTTCATTGCCAAGTGGACAACCTAAGCATGTCTGAACAAAGCACTGGTTTATGTGCCCCCCTTCTGTTCCCACATAGCCAGGGGATTAATTCCGCTTTCAGAAAATAGCGGCTTGACACACTGTATGAACCTAGAATCCTGCGTTGCAGCAAACTTAATTTCAAAACAAGCCACCTTTAAACTGTAGGCTAAGAAGCTGGCTTGTTCAATTAGCCACAGTTTGTTTCAAGAAGCCAGGATTCACAAACTGATGTTCTGATCTTCAAAGGAGTCTGTTTCTCTTCCCCATGTTGGAGGTGAAATGGGGTGGATGTGTGAGCCTGACGCTTGGCTTGGCTTGCTGCAGGTCACCCACGTAACACTAAACATAATGTAGCATTTTGCAATTTGTTCAGTTGTGGGACTTTCGATACTGGGGGCTAAGTGGTCCCAGCGTCTTTCCACAGCACTGAAACATGCATGCACTAATTTAGCCCTTCAAACAACCAAAAATGAAAAAGGTTTGAGCATCAGCAAAGGTGTATCAATGCCCTGCCATTCTGTGGACCTCCTTTTGTTTCTTATTTGCCGTACAGTCCCCTCTGACAGCTAAAGCTCACCTTAGTCATATTGTCAGCAGCTAAATTTTTGTCTGCCGTGGCCAAAACAGACACTATACGAGGCTTTCCTGAATAAGACCCTACTTTTAAAAGTAATTAGTATCCTCATGAGGCTGTTTTGGAGAACATGGCATTTGCGGAGAGCAGGGGTATTAATCCTTTCTTCCGTCCTCTGAGGCCTCTTCCCCATCTTAAGTCTCTCCTCCTTGAAGTTGCTTTTAGTTCTCTGCAAGGGAAAACTACGGGAACCGTGGTACCTGCATGTTCAATCTAAAATACTTTAATAATCTAACAAATAGCATCTTTTGGAGAATTCCCATCAATCCCACCTTTTTCTAACCTGAACCCTCCCAACCTTGTTGTTTTGTTCAGAATTTAACCTGAAGGATAATTCTGGGGAGCTCCAAAGCGTGTTCATGACCTTGTGACATTTTAATTGGTCCCAGCACACCAATTAACATTCTGCTAATTTTGGAATTGACAGTGAGAAAGTTTCCCAAATGAAAGACTGCTGCTTTCTTTGACTGGTTATTCCGACAGTAGATTGCCATCTTAAGATGTGTTCCTCTCATTGACATTACAGTACATTTGCCTAGCTCTGCTTTCCACTTGCTGGCCTTTCAATTGTCTTTGAGTCAAATAATTGTAACCCTTAAAAAAAATGCTACAGTCCAAATCACCTCTTGGCCTTCTGTCACACCAGCTTGAATGTTCATTGTCTGACACAATAAGAATTATTTCTAGCACCACAGGGTGGGCAGGGAGTCCTTTTAAATTTCTCCTGGATCTTTCCCAGGTTTTGGGTTTATTTGTTTTTCCCCCTTATCTTTTTAATTTATACATTTTGAAACTTCATTAACACTTTGTGATTTTTTTGTAAAAACTCATTGGTAGCTCTTAAGAGCGAAATCTGGTATAATTAGGAAGCAGAGTGGCAAAAGCTTTCAGAACAGCAAATGATCCTGGTAGTTACAGACCAATTAGCAGGAATTGATCCTGTTCAATACAGTGGAAAAAAGTGATATAAGGCACTGTCAATAAGCATGTAAAGATCACTTATCCAGCTAAGGCTGCTCACAAATACTTGGGGAAACAGATGCCATCAGACAGTCCTGTTGTTTTCCCCAAGTGAGGATACTAGAAACACAACAAAATTGTGGGATTGTTATTGATGCTATCTCTCTCTCTCTCTCTCTCTCTCTCTCTCGTTCATCCTGTTTAGTGGGGCATTATGCTTTTGTTGAAGTATATGAGCTTATTGAGAAATGAGCTGCCCACAAGATTTGAAGCTGGAACATTGGCCCCACCCATACTAGTAAATTTCTCCATTCTTGACAGTGTTTACTGCAGTGCTTAGAAATCCAGTCCATGTTTTCCTAGCAATTCTAGCATATTGGAATCTGGAGCAGTCCTCAACTAGGTCTTACTGTATTTTTGACTCAGGCCCTCTCTGGTTTTGCAAGCTAGACTGGGTCTGGCAGTCACAAAAGGTTCTGATATGCCTTGAGTTTAGGTACTTCTTTGATACTATAGTTCAGCCTTGTAAATAAGCCCATGAAATTCCTTGCTCCTACTTTTGTTTTGTTTTGTTTACTAGTTTGTTAAGAGGCTGGTAGCCTGAATTTCCAAACTAACCACTGAGGAGGAGAAGCCATCCAGTTCCTCAGACACCAGGCTTCTAGCTTATAAGCAGGCATGCTAAATGCACAAGTAGGGTGGCCATATTTCAAAACGTAAAAACCAGGATACTCTCAAAATTTTTGAGACCCGGAATTTGTTGAGCTTTTTTTTTAGACAACCCCAGAAGTTGTTGAGCTTTTCTTTTTCTTTTTTACAAAAACATTAAAAAAACCATAGTTGATCCAGGACAAAGTGCTGCCTTTCAAATATCCCCCCCCATGTCAATTCCGCCTTTGAAATTCCAGTAATGCCTGCATGACAGCTTTTTGCATAAGTTACTAGAGAATGCACTATTCTTACTAAACTGGGCTAGCACTAGGTAAAGGTAAAGGGACCCCTGACCATTAGGTCCAGTCGTGGCCGACTCTGGGGTTGCGGCGCTCATCTCGCTTTATTGGCCGAGGGAGCCAATATGTGGCCAGCATGACTAAGCTGCTTCTGGCGAACCAGAGCAGCGCACGGAAACGCCATTTACCTTCCCACCAGAGCCGTACCTATTTATCTACTTGCACTTTGACGTGCTTTCGAACTGCTAGGTTGGCAGGAGCAGGGACTGAGCAACGGGAGGCCTTTCATAGTGAGAATTGTGTTTTTACGTAGTCTTGTGATGATGCAATTATATGCACATTTTCCTGAGAGTAAGCTCCATTGTACACAGTGGGACTTCTGAGTAAGCATGTATAGGATGGCTATGTGAGAATCTCTTTCATATTTGACTGTGCATAAAACTATCAAAACCTGCAGTTTACATTTACTGCATAGATAATTTTTTCCAATGGGCACTGCCGCTGAACAATAAGACACTGCCTTGCCTGTAAGTTTGCTGTTTCTTCTGTGAGTGGCCACACTTACTGCAAGGGGAAGCTGTGTAAATTTGTTTGGAGAGAGACACTTTTGGCATTGAAAGTATCCTAAGTTGAAATTTTTAAATTTGTACTTAGCTCAGTCCCCCTCCCTTGCCCCTGAAGTATCTGATACTAACAATAAAAGCACCAGTTACAGAAAAGTGGTCCAAAATTTATTTTATTTATTATTATTTATTAATTGAATTTAATAATTAATTAATTGAGGTCTCAGGGCAGTTCACAGAGCAAAATCAAATTATAAAACCACAAAATATATAATGAAAATAAAAACAACTCAATAGGCCCCCCCCCCCAAAGCATAGGGAGAGCATTCCACAGAGGATCATTTCAGAGAAGGCCCGTTCTCATGTTGCCACCTTCTGGACCTCTCAAGGAGGAGGCACACAATGAAGGGCCTCAGCCACAACAGCAGCAAGAATACTTATCGCAAAATATTGGAAGACACAAGATTTACCCACACTGGAAGAATGGCAGATGAAGGTGATGGACTACATGGAACTGGCGGAAATGACTGGCAGAATCCGAGACCAGGGAGAAGAGTCGGTGGAAGAAGATTGGAAGAAATTTAAAAACTATTTACAGAAATACTGCAAAATGCATGAATGTTAGAATGATGTTGGATAGAAGTTAAGTGGTTTTTAGCAGCAATGTTATAAAGGAATATGTAAAAATGGATTGTTAACAGGTGATAATTTAAAGTTATAATATATTAAGATAAAAGATTAAGATAAAATCAAAGAGGGAAAGGAATTGCTGAACTAACTAATTGAACTGGAATACAAAAAAGGGAGGTGTGAGGAGGTCAGGGAAACAAGCAAATGAAAGATAAGATATGGAAAGACTGATTTGTTTTTAACTGTTTTTACTTTGTATTTTCATTTTTGTTCTTTTTTTCTCTTTTACTTTTTTCTCTTATTTTTGTAATATGTGGAAACTTTAATAAATATCTTATAAAAAAAAAAACAATGAAGGGCCTCAGAAGATGATTTCAGGGTCCAGGTAGTTTCATATGGAAAGA